CGAACTGGTATGCGGGCTGCATGAACTTGGTCCTTTCAATCGCAGAGTTTTTGCTCCCGCTCTCTCCATTATATTGCGTCCAACAAGCAGCTCCTACACATTCCAACATTTCGCAAATGATGCAAAGGCTCACTTCACTCTGGGTCCCTCCCTTGAGGACGTTTTCCGGGTTCAGCATATGTTTTTTCGCGTGCCGGTGGTATGTCAACTGTTGGATGGTCTGGAGTTTTTTTCGTTTCAGTTCGGGACCATAGTAAAAGAAAACGACTAGCGGTTACAGGTATACCAGTCAAAAGCAGTCGCGCAACTCTCAAAGTTGATGATAACGAACATGATGGCAGACCTGTTTATGAGCTTGTCAATTGTTTGAAGGGCATCTCCATGCATTCCTTTCCAATCGTCCTCAACACCCATGAGCTTCTGGAGGAACTCTGTGAGTACATCGGGAGATTTATCTGAAAACACGAATCCTGATTTTTCTAAACCACTCTGGAAACAAACGGCGCAGTTCAGCTTTGGGGGAGGGGACACTTTTGCACTTGCTACTTCCCATCGACAAGTCGAGCCATCCTACGGAATCTTGTGAAGCCAAGGAGTGAAACCCGTCAAAGAGATCACATACCAACCTTGGAACGAATTCTAGTAAAGCTTTGACGTCGACTCTAGTAAAGCAATGATACGTCAATGGCAAGTAGCAAAGGTGCAAAATGCCCCCTTCTCCAAGCTGAACTGCGCCTGTAATCTCAATACCTAGCGAATCGAGACCGTATTTCAAAGCAGCCAAAGCAATTTGGGACGGCGGATACATCAACATTGCATCTGAGAGGAGTGCTTGCTAAAAACACGCACAAAACCTTCTAGGCAAGAAAATGTCGTATTTTCAACGAAGTGTCACTGAACTCACCCTAAAGAACTGATCTGCGGGTTCGCGAATGGTTTCGACGTTGAAGTTCAGCAGAAGCATGCGTGTCTTCATCTCCATCAGATGGCCTTCGAATGGCCTGAAAATGGTCACCATATGAGTTGGGAGGGATAGCAAGGCACATCATCGCGTTCACAAATATATTCCCAACCTCTCAGTTAGTTTCCCAGAACTTTCTCGTCGAGTGGTGGAATGGGGTGAGGTGAAGGTGTGGATAGCGCTCACGAAACGGGAAAAACCATGCCAAAAAGTTCCTTCGACATCGTATACGACCGCCCTCTCCTTACAGCAGCCACAACAGACAAATATGATCCCCTCCTTAAGATTTCCCCAACTGTGATATGCCTAGAGGGCGGATGGGTATGCGGCGGCGCGAAAGCCTGCCCGTCTTCGTCTTCTCGACAAGAGAGCGATCCGTTCCTCCAACAGACTAATAGCCTAAAATTATCAGAATGGGCACGGCCTAGCGTTGCTGCCTTCCTCTCCCTCGATTTCAGCAGCAATATGATTTAAACTTAGTATGAGCACATGCTATCGGTGCCGAGTGCTAGAGAAGACTACGAATTGGGAGCTTTAAGTTCAAAGACAGTACAAAACAAACCGGTAAGGACAGTGTATAGTGATTTGATAACGAAGTGCACGCATGATTTCTGGTTCGAGACCCAAAATTCTTGTAGTATTCTGTTCAGGCGTTCCGGATCTGATACAAACTCTGTACGCGCTACCCAAGAAGAAAACCAAAGGTAGAGGAACTCACTTCAAATTACTAACAAACTCATCAATAGTTACATAAAATTCTTCAACTTTCATTGCCAAGTAGAAACATGCCATCATCACGATCTGCAATGTTGCATGAAGAGTTCTTAGAATAGAAAAAGAACTTGAGCGGCTTCCCTGTCCCCCTCCATTCCACAACCACTGAGATATAGACAAGTTTTCAGAAAAAAAAGTAGAATGTAACCTTTGGACTAGCTTCCATTACTGACCAGTCGAGAAAAAGCCGTTTAAAGTAAGCGTAAGCTGTCCATCGCACTGATGGCCACATATAAGGTTGAAAGGTGTCGGAGAACCTGGAAACAGCAGAAGCTGCATCAGTTAGGATTCAAATACGGGTAATAATTGCTATAAGGTTTCACCTTATTGCAGCACTTTCCACGACTGCGATCATCTTTGCTTCTTCTTCAGGAGTCAAAAATATGGCTTCCTCTCCAGGCTGCAGCAAATCGGCCTGCTTGGCACGGAACGCTTCATTCGCCTGTAAACCTCACTCCCAGATTAGCACTTCACATGTGTAAAATGGAGGCCAAGCCACCTATGTCACATATTAGTAATCATCGTCAGATAGGATTCTAGGCTTTCGTGTTAGATTCGCTCTAATGGTAAGGACCGTGATACGACAAACGCAAAGTTAAATGCTGTCATATTGACATATGGAGGGAGCCTTCTAGCTAAAAAGGTCACTAAAATTGAGCGGACCAAAAGGCACCAAAGACTTAGAACTAAGAAGGGGACACGCAGTTGCAACAAAAGGCGGAGGAGAGGGTCGAGCGTATGTCGAGTAGTCTCATCAAGATACACCATCGCGTTTTGGAAAATTTCCACAAATATAGTGTAGTTCGCTGCGGACGGTTGGGCGTGTCAGGCGGGATGAGTTTGGCGCGGTGCCAAACCCGTTCTCCACCAGTTGTTAAAGCGAGCAAATGATATGACTGTATCATATCGTTCGTATTACTACTCGTTATCATATCGCTCGTATTGCTTTTCTTCCGGTTCAGCAAGAAGGCAGAGAACGTTGACGGGGTGACACACTCATACTGCCCGACATGCCCAACTGTCCGCAGCGAACTAGAGTGTACAATTTCCCTCCCCTTCTACCCCGTGTTAATTCGAATATGACCCCCTTCCAAGCATTTGCCAGACTCCTGCCCAACAAATCAAATACAACTCCCACTGTGTTTACACACGACGATAAAGCACCGTCCTCGATCACAGTGGTCGTACTCGGCCTGATGAAAGCCCTTATTTTGATTTCTTTCTGTTCCGCTCTGCAAGTTTTCTGTTTTCGATACTTGATCAGAAGTGTCCACCCTCATTGCTGCCACTTGGGAATAGTACCGCGGAAATATTCCCAGCTATGCCTTAACTCGGTTTCGCGGGCGCTTGTAGTAGACGTGAAGTGAGTCAAATAAACCGGCCAACAAAGTTTGGGACGCCTTTCTGATTCGTTTCGCAGTTTTCCCAGAATGTTCTTCTAATGAGAAGGCAGTTTTTCGTAGAGAGGCAGTTCCTCAAACAGGATGGGCAATTGTCGTTTAGAACCGCGTGTGAATAGAAAACCTATTCAAATACACAGACGACCTCTCTCTCTTCCACCACTGAACCGCGCACTCGCCAACGAAAACAAGAACTATCTGCAGGAATTTCCAAAATACAAGAGAAAAGGAAAGAAAGAAATCTTTCTCTGGAAGAAAAGACCTCAACCAACCTTTCTCCGCCTTTCCTGAAGCTCTTCCTTTGTGAACGTCCTTCCCTGCTTTTCGTGTCTTGTGGAATACATCTCAGCTAAGAAGTAATCAAATATACAAGTACACTTATAACAAGAATAGGCGTCACTAATTTGCCAAGAGCCGTACTAGTTTCAAATATGCTGTAATTGTCGCAAATGCGGCAAGTCTCGGTCACCGTAACCCAAAAGCCATGATTCTTCAAAGTGCATCAGGACATTATTGTTTCGCTTTTCTTCGTACTCTTCCGTCCACCAACTATTCTAGATTCCATATTACTAGTGCTTAACCTGTCCCTGCTACATTTTTCAAAGAAAATGGAAATCTTATAAAGGATCTACTGGTTTTCTTACTTGAGAGAATAATTTGTTGAATGTATTGCATTTGAATTAGGATGATTCTTGGTCTCAGCTATGGGGTGGAAGCAAAGATAGCACTTACCGAACCACGATTTCAGCCGCTATACCGATTCTGTTCAGGAGCTTGGGCAGGTTTCAAATAGTATCTCTGCCTTGTTTATTTAGGTGCGTTACGTGAAAACCATTCGATACTGATAATATTACCCACTGATGAAAACTGCCAAAGGCTTTCACTTTTTACGCTGTTCCCTGGTGAACAGCTTCTACTAAGATCGCTTTCATATTTTGTTTTCACCAATCAGCTTGTTATTCATCACTCGGGTCATTGTTTATAATATCCAAACTATAGCATCTAGACCGGCGCATCTAGAATTTCCTTTCACATTCGTAGTTCGCATTGACTGCGCTGCGAAGCGCATGTTTTACTTTTACGCTGCACTTTATTACTTTTTAACTAGCCTTATTTTATAAGTGCATCTCATATAGGCCAAGGCCAACCACAAGGGAGTGGTACTAGAAAGCAAAAAAATCCATTCCGTCTGTCTCTTCATCCGTACTGTTATCTGTTCACCTTGACAGAGTTTTGTTCATACTTTGCGTCATCAAAAATCGGGATATCCGCGAAAAGCACTACGCACGAGTCGATTTCGCCAGTTCTCTTTTTGGGCAGAGTCAGCGAAATATTTATATGCGCCCTTGCCCTTCCCTTTTACCAGTTCTCCTGCTGCCTAGGATCTAAACGCGGCTTTAGCGGACTTGTAGAGGAGTTGAGCACAATATTCTGTCCGTATTTAGTTTTCGAAGAATTGATTATGTCGCCACGAAGAGGACCAAATACTTATTGATCAGTGATTCCCCCACCCGTGTAGTTGTGTAGTTTTCCCCTGGTGACGGTGGGGCGTGTCAGGGGGTTGGTTATGGCGCGCCCGCTCACCCACCTTTTCCCCCACCCTCCCCCTGCCTGCCCACGCTCAGCTGCCACACGAGCGACTCTTGTAGTGGCTGGTAGGGCTGGATGGTTGTCTTATATAGTCATCACGATCAAAATACTGCCGCTATTTTATACCACAGCATTGATCGGCATGCAGTTGTGTTAGCGGTTGTTCCCTTTTCTCTTCGTCCCTTATAATGTCCGTAGGTGCTTTTGACTCCGCAGTCGCTGCATGCTCCTCTTCGAGCGCTCGGAGTGCATTAAGTGGTTACCTTATGTAGTGAAGGGTGTTATCACAGTCATTGCATTTATACACCTGCACCAACTGGTTTCCAGTTTGGCTAGCGGAGAGGCTTCTTTTTCCAGTCAGGCGCGTCTATACTTCGCGATCCGCTTGAATCGCGCGACCACAGTCGGAGTCACTCCACGGCAAACGGTGCTCCGCTTCAACGGCAGGATTCAAATAGATCCGCCTTCACACAGTGCGGCCCAGTTTGAATTCTCCCACTGCTGCGGTGCACCGGTGCACCGATTGGCGATGAGAGGCTTTGGCAGCGTTCTGAGCGTCTGTCGGAGTTTTTGGGCAGTTTGAGCTGCTAGTAAAGTACGGGTATCTGTCCGGTATTGAGCATCGCCAGCTTTTAGCGGAAGGAATAGGTACCGATTATCGCTAAGAACGCGCCGGAAGCTCAAAGCTGCCGGAAGCTCCAAGCTCTGGCGCACACTCAAGATGCTGGTGAACGCGCAAAAGGCTTGGATTGCTATCCTCTACTTTCCTAGCCTCTAAAAACGCTGACAGACGCTCAAAACACCGCCGCAAAGTGTGAACCAGTGCCTTTCCTATCCTTTTCAGTGGTCGTGTTCCGTATGTCTCTAGTCGTACCACAGGATCAATTCCGGCTGCGTGGAATCCTTCGCCGAGGATTCGAATCGGTACGAGCTATCCTCTGAAGTCGTGACAGCTGGGTTGGGACTTCGGGCGACAGTTTATTGCACTCATCTGCCCGCTGAGCCACACGGCTTACCCTAACTTACAAGGTCGGAGTTAAATTAGGGGCAGGTGGAGTCGCTACCTTACCCACAAGCTGAAGACTCCAGATTTGATCCCTGCGAAGGCGAACAGATCCTTCCATTTCGCTATGGTCCGTTCATGATTATTGGGCTCTTTTGGCAGGGTAAAAACACTGGCTCATACTACACCCACTCGCCGTTGCAACTGTTTGAACTAAATACTCATTTAAATGGCGCTATGGTTTCTGGCTGAAAATGAATGCGTTGTGCGTCTCTGAAAAGGCAGTGACCACTCCCGGACACCTTTTTTTTCCTTTCCCAACACTATTAATTTCAGCCTGTTGAGATTTCACGTAGAAGTGGTGGACTGCAATTTTTCTATAGATCATCTCTCTACTCGTTTTCACGAAGTCGCGGTTTCTGCGTTTTTTGGAACGTTTGGTGGACGGCGACACACAATCGATATATCTTATCTTTTCGTTAGCTGCTTAATCCGCTTATTTCGCTGTTTGACTCCTTAAAGACAGTCCGCGCGCATAAGCAATTCGTAAGTGTCCTCCTTAGTACGAGTAGTCTGGTCCTCAACCTCTTTACCCTGGCTTTTGCTGCTTCACAGTAAGTAGCGAAGGCG